GCACTTAGGCTATACAAGAGGATAATTTATCGCAGGGCTACATGCTGTGTAGCGCGGTCAATAGGGCTGCATCTCACATTTAGCCTATATCCCATATAATCTTTTAAGAAAAGAAAGGGGAGAGCAAGACCAAATTCTGCGTTGAATATCGTGGAGAGGTGGGAGAAGATGGGGAGAAAATGGTTGAGTGAGGGTGGTGGGGGGGGGGGGGAGTGAGAGAAGGTCTGAGGGGTGATATGGAAGGTCTAAATTGGGGAGAGGGGCAGGTCTAAATTGGGGGAAGAGGGCAGGTCTAAATTGGGGGAAGAGGGCAGGTCTAAATTGGGGAAAGAGGGTAGGTCTAAATTGGGGAGGAGGGGGGGAGTGAGAGAAGGTCTGAGGGGTGATATGGAAGGTCTAAATTGGGGAGAGGGCAGGTCTAAATTGGGGGAAGAGGGCAGGTCTAAATTGGGGAAAGAGGGTAGGTCTAAATTGGGGAAAGAGGGCAGGTCTAAATTGGGGGGAGAGGGCAGGTCTAAATTGGGGGAAGAGGGCAGGTCTAAATTGGGGAAAGAGAGCAGGTCAAAATTGGGGGGAGAGGGCAGGTCTAAATTGGGGGAGAGGGCAGGTCTAAATTGGGGGGAGAGGGCAGGTCTAAATTGGGGGGAGAGGGCAGGTCTAAATTGGGGGGAGAGGGCAGGTCTAAATTGGGGGGAGAGGGCAGGTCTAAATTGGGGGGAGAGGGCAGGTCTAAATTGGGGGGAGAGGGCAGGTCTAAATTGGGGGGAGAGGGCAGGTCTAAATTGGGGGGAGAGGGCAGGTCTAAATTGGGGGGAGAGGGCAGGTCTGGGGAGAGGGCAGGTCTGAATTGGGGGGAGAGGGCAGGTCTAAATTGGGGGGAGAGGGCAGGTCTAAATTGGGGGGAGAGGGCAGGTCTAAATTGGGGGGAGAGGGCAGGTCTAAATTGGGGGGAGAGGGCAGGTCTAAATTGGGGGGAGAGGGCAGGTTTAAAGACGGATAGTGGGACGGTTTGATGGGGAAGGTTTAAAGGGGGAGGAGAGGAAGGTAGGGCTAGAGGGGGATGGCAAGGTAGAGAGAGGGAGGGATGGCGAGGGAGAGGGGGAGAAAGAGATATGTAGGGGAAGAGGAGGGAAGGGGAAGAGGAGGGAAGGGGGGAAGAGAGGGAATAGGAGGGAAGGGAGAATATGAGAAGGGGGAAGAGGAGGAAAGAGGGGGACTAGGAGGAATGAGGGGGAAGAGGGGGAGAGGGGGAGAGAGGGGGGAAGAGGGGGGGAGAGGGGGGAAGAGGGGGAGAGGGGGAAGAGGGGGAGAGGGGGAAGAGGGGGAGAGGGGGAGAGAGAGGGGGGAGAGGCGGGAAGAGGGGGAGGGGGGAAGAGGGGGAGAGGGGAAGAGGGGAAGAAGGGAAGAGGGGAAGAAGGGGAAGAGGGGGGAAGAGGGGGGAAGAGGAGGGGGGAAGAGGGGGGGGAAGAGGGGGGGGGAAGAGGGGGGGAAGAGGGGGGGAAGAGGGAGGGGGGAAGAGGGAGGGGGGAAGAGGGAGAGGGGGGAGGGAGAGGGGAAGAGGGGGGAGGGAGAGGGGAAGAGGGGGGAGGGAGAGGGGAAGAGGGGGGAGGGAGAGGGGAAGAGGGGGGAAGGAGAGGGGAAGAGGGGGGAGGGAGAGGGGAAGAGGGGGGGAGAGGGGAAGAGGGGGGGAGAGGGGAAGAGGGGGGGGAGAGGGGAAGAGGGGGGGGAGAGGGGAAGAGGGGGGGAGAGGGGAAGAGGGGGGGAGAGGGGAAGAGGGGGGGAGAGGGGAAGAGGGGGGGAGAGGGGAAGAGGGGGGGAGAGGGGAAGAGGGGGGAGAGGGGAAGAGGGGGGGAGAGGGGAAGAGGGGGGGAGAGGGGAAGAGGGGGGGAGAGGGGAAGAGGGGGGGAGAGGGGAAGAGGGGGGGAGAGGGGAAGAGGGGGGGAGAGGGGAAGAGGGGGGGAGAGGGGAAGAGGGGGGGAGAGGGGAAGAGGGGGGGAGAGGGGAAGAGGGGGGAGAGGGGAAGAGGGGGGTAGAGGGGAAGAGGGGGTAGAGGGGAAGAGGGGGGGAGAGGGGAAGAGGGGGGAAGAGGGGGGAAGAGGGGAAGAGGGGGGAAGAGGGGGGAAGAGGGGGGAAGAGGGGGGGGAGAGGGGGAAGGAATAGGGGGGGGAGAGAGGGGAATAGGGGGGAAGAGGAGGGAAGAGAGTGAAAGAAAATGGAGAAATGAAGTTCTTAAATCTGTCTCTCGAATAGTACATGGCATTTTAATGTATAAATCTCCAACGGCTAATATATGATGTACTATAAATCACAGGAGCTCGCACAATTGACGGGATGTCCCGCTTTCTATTCGTGGGTCCTGGGTTAAGTTGGGTTAGGGTAGTGGAATACCTCATTTTTGTGGCGTGCATGACAGACAGCTCTAGAAGTCAGACTGTAAAGAGAGGGAGAGTTAACTTTTCACATTCTCTGTACAGCACCAGAAGCTGGATTATTATTTCAACTTCAAATAAAACTATCAAGTTGCTGCTGCTGTTGTTTTAGATTTAGCTACTCAGAACCAAGTGTCCATGTAGCACGGACTATGGTGAGCCCGTAAGATCAAGTTGCGTTGGGCTATAATGCCGCCTACCTGTCGCATTAGTACCGTATTATGCTCAATGGTACTGTACCTACAAACCTTTCGGCAATCCGAACATAAATCATTGCGTGAGTTCATTACTGACGCCCATATTTATTTTCATTGTGATGACTGACAAGTGTCAGTTATTTAAGCTCTCTAACGCAGCATCTGCCAGGATGATCTATGAAACAGTACCGAATATTAATGATGTAGTGCGTCTGACAGCTTTAAAAGTCATTAGAAACCAGAGTGCAAAGCGATACATTTGTCAAAGAATTAGTTCGTCAATACTCTAGTGTAAAAGCTCTTTAAATTATTTGCAAATGACTATTTGTGCCACTGTAAAGAAATACTCAGAAGGTTCATTGTTTAAACACAGTTAATTAAGTGTCTAGATCAGCTATAAACTAAAGATAATTTATAGTTTTTACTGGTGACCCGAGTTCCCTGAACCAATTAAAGGTCTTAATCATACGAGTGAGGCGCATACCTCATTTTAATTTAAAACAAATCACACAAAACAGAGTTACGATGACTGAAGCTCGCTCAAAACACCATAATTCTATAAAAAATCTAAGTCTACAAAAAAAAAATACACGACACTTGTATTTACTAACGCTTTACATGCTATGCGGTATGAACTATCATCGTAAATGATTCCCCAATCTGTTAAAGTCAGCTACCGAGACCCCAAGATCATGTGTGTATGGGTGACAATACCAAGTGAAAACCCCACGAACGAGTCAAAGAGCTTCTAGCCCGGATGAGCAGCAGCAGCAGCAAGTCAGCAGAGCACGGGCCTGGTTAGGACCGCGTAGCAACAACGGCTATTCCCAGCGCTCTTTGTTCCGGGGCTGAACGGTGAAGCCATCACTCCCGTTAACACCCACCGCCTCTAACTTGGCCAGCTTTATACTTCTGCTCTATATGTCCTCAAATGTTGTACCAGTTGTACAAAGCAAGTTAAATGGTTTGGGAAGCGTTTGCCGAGGTAGTGGTAACAGTACCAGGTCCTAACCTACATACGAGACCCAACTGGATATAATCGGTTTGCAGGCTAAATAAAGAACCCGTGAATTTTGTTTGTTAAATCATAATAATGTATTCAAATAAACTATTTTAAATACGGCATTCTTGTAATATGTAAATACTATTATTGTTTAATTCTCTATTTCTTCTTTCGTGACCTACGAGGAAGAAAGATCATCGCACACCTGGCAAGCCGCTTCTGGCACACAGTTGTGTTCCGGGTAAGAACGTCATATAAACCAACCTCCCTACACCAATCCCTACCGGCCCTCCGCATTTTTATGCACAATTTCGGCGTTTTGGAGCATACCGTGCCGGTATGGCTTTAACTGAGTATAGCTACACACATTTTGTGTGGTAGTGGAGACGGGTATTTCTCCCTTGGTATAACTAAAACTGAGTAAATGAACGACAGATCAATAGCGATTCATCTGAAGGTTGTCTCCAAGTGCGGTTTTGCCCGGAAACGCTCTATCATCTAGCGCTCCACACACGTACATCAGCTGACAAACTTTTCACTGCTCGACTTAAAACATACATGGATATACATATGCATATTTTTTTTATAATTACTTTCTATCTTGTACTTCAGAAAAGCATTTTACAACACGCGACACTTGTTATATTATTAAATATTGGACGGCACCTGGACAATCCTTTTTCAGTACCCGTGAAGCCTTGAACAAGACTGGCAAACGTTCACATGAATACCTGTAATGAACATATGCTAGCACTGCTAATGTCAAAGTCTATCTTTATAGCTTATTGTAGGCAATACAGCCATTTAATAAGCATTAACTTCGTACCAACTCGCTCCTACGATTGTCAAGTCAGCATCTTAAATTTTAATGTGTAAAAAAAAATGAATGAGCAACATTCAATATCTACGTCAAAATTAAGAACGATACAGCCAATACATATGTATAATAGCTCAGTGGAAAGAATAAAATCTCCTGACTCAAAATTGAGGGGCTGTAGAGTAGATTTATACTTGCTGTTTGTACACAGTTTAACAATGTAAACACAGCAAAATAATTGTCAACATTTTCCAGTTATTATAATTCAATAATCCTCAGGATACACACACTTACTCCTTGCATCATTTAAGACGGTGCTTATGGGCACTGTCCTATATGGCAAGATCTAAACACACACACACATTCAACTCACCTTCATATTTACACCTGCCAGTGTAATGTATTCAAAACTGGAGCACACACATTACATTTGACCTTCAAATACAGTAGAATAAATTTGTATTCAAAATGATTTCATCTCTGTTTTACAGCAACATTTAAAATTATGTACTGACTAAAAAAAAAAAATGAGAAAAGATAAGTGGTGTACTTACAACATCAGTGGTGAGTGTGGGCGGCGGAAGCGTGTGGTGTGGGCGGGCACACGGGTGGCTGCTGGAGAAGGCTGTACACACGTTGTGGAAGCACGCTCGGCACTCTACAAGGGGCAAGAGAGAGGACACAGTGTGACACACATTATGCTGGTTTGGACTAGTGCCGTTACTGTAGCTGTGGGAGCCCCCCGCCGTCGAGTACGCTAACAGGGCCCCGCTCACCCCACACGACGGAGGCCGACACACACACGTCAAAACGCTACTCCGACACTCGGACGACGTCGTCACGTTAAAGAGAATTTGGTCTGTGGGCGCGGTGGAGGGAGTCCGGAGACACGCGGGCGTGGACGGGGGGCCACACTTGAGCATGTAGTTCTCCTTGTCGATATTAAGCACGTGTTTGTCCGTGTAACCCTTGTCCCCATTGCCCCCTTTGTTGAGGTTGTTCTCGGTATCGTAGAGGCCCATGTTGGGCCCGGAGGTGGACGAGGCGGACACGGTGGTGGTGGGCGAGCCGCCCAGGGTGGTGGAGGTCCCAAAGTGGGTGGTGTTGGCCCCAGAGTGGGTAGAGGCGACCCCAGAGTGGTTGTGTGGCACAGGAGGGCAGGGGATGGGCCGCGCCTTCATCGCCTCGTACAGGAGGCCAGTGTCGAGCATCTTGCCGTTGCTTCCGCTCGACATAATTATTCACGCACACACGCAGACATGCTCACACAATATATTTTTTTACCAATACTGCCAAATCACACAGCTAGGGACTATTACGTTCATTATCTTTTTACCATTTCACAATAAATGATGCCGCTTTTTGGCTGGTCGATTGCCTAAGACAACCACTTTCGATTTCAATTGCTTTGTCAAATTTATCTAACTAAGCCGCTATGCCGATACAGCATACACATGTTGAATTCCAGTTTATGAATGTCATGTCGAGAGACGCCGGCAGTGGCAGTAGTACATCCTCACTCCTCTATAGCTGTGAGCCGACTGGCGAGCTGCACTCCAGGCGCCCCTTAGCGCGCGATGCTCGTTGCCGAGCTTTGAATGATTTCCAACTTAGGAACATTATTGCTTTATATTTAACTAGTGGCACTAAAATATTCTAAACACACACACACCTCTCTCGCACGTATCTCATCTTGCACTGATAAAAGATCCTAATATTGTAAGAAGATCACGGATAATAACAACATTTGCCACCTGTGCCTGCTCAGTTGCCAACGAGCTCTACGAACAGTTGGCAGCGCCGCAAGTTGCCCGACTGAATGACAGTCACTAGGAGCCAGATCTAACCGTGTCCAATTTGTTCTCATCACGGGTTCGTGTCTTAATGATTCATTTTATGGTAATAAATGGAAAAAAAACTTTGGTTTTGTTTTTCGTGAAAAGCTACTGATTACTAATTTCTTTTGTTAATACAAAAATTTAATCGCACAGAATTAAATATCAAAGGTATGTATGCATGTCATTTGGCCCTTGATCGGTTGGAGTTTCCCATCTTTATCGCTTATCGGAAATATTGCTCGATCCGCGCACAGTGAATAACTAAAGGTGTCTCTAATGGGCCCTGAAAAGTGACATTTAACTAATTTAGGATGGAGATAACCTACTGGTCTTTCTATAAAAAAATTTGTTATATCGTGTTCGCGGCTTTGCAAGAATGTATCACTTTGAACCCACGTGCCCTCATATATGGTCTTCTATCACCCCCAATATTATATTATATTATATTATATTATATTATATTATATTATATATATAGCCACACAAAAATTACAAATTCTATGATGGCACACATAAGTGCGATTTAATTAACGCCTTGAGATATTAATAAGAAAATTGACGAAAGCAAAGCCATATTTGCGTGTGTTGAGTAGGCTTAATCCTAACATTGCGTATTTAACACTGACATCCGTCCGAAGATAAGAGCCCTGATACTGGGCTTTGTAAGTTGAACTTTATACGCTTGTTGGGTCACACTGGGGGAAGAGGAGAGGGGGCGCGTACACCCCCCCTTATCCTCACCCTCGGGTCTAACCCTACACACCCCTTATCCTCACCCTTGGGTCTAACCCTACACACACACCCTTATCCTCACCCTTGGGTCCAACCCTACACACACCCTTATCCTCACCCTCGGGTCTAACCCTTCACACCCCCTAATCCTCACCCTCGGGTCTAACCCTACACACACACCCTTATCCTCACCCTCGGGTCTAACCCTACACACCCCCTTATCCTCACCCTCGGGTCTAACCCTACACACACCCCCTTATCCTCACCCTTGGGTCTAACCCTACACACACACACCCTTATCCTCACCCTCGGGTCTAACCCTACACACCCCAATTATCCTCACCCTCGGGTCTAACCCTACACACACACCCTTATCCTCACCCTCGGGTCTAACCCTACACACACACCCTTATCCTCACCCTCGGGTCTAACCCTACACACCACAATTCGCCACAGCTCCGTTTCTGTTTGTTAAACGCGTATATGTTGTTAGGATGTGTTAGGCACACGAGTAGGTTCAGTTTCAGTAGAGGAAGGTTAGGCAAGTTTTAAAATCCGTGGACACGTTGTGACGTGTTCACCCACAATATATGCCTTGGCTCACCGTTCTGCTGGGAATCAACACTAAAACAATTTTACTTTCACATGAAAATCCGATGATGGTTTAGCTGGCGTTACGTTTCAGGTGGGAGGCAAGTGCAAGCGGTTAGGAAGGAATGCGCCGTGATGCGGTGAGGCTGAGTGACGCGCAGGCTTACCCATCCCTACCAGACAGCCTGGCGCCCAAAACCAAAGTCCACCAATCAACAACTCCCAAGTTAATTGATGTACAAGAGCCGCAGGTTAACCGCCAAGTTAACCACACCACAGTTGTAACAATTTTGGGGGTTAAACACTTTTCTGGAAAGTTTTTGCAGAGACAGACACTTCCCAAATTTTTATTTCAACAAAACGAATACAGTAAAATCATAACTTAATTAAAATGTATAATAATATGCTTATGTTGAACTTCAAATATAGTGGGCATGTTTCGCTCGCAGCCGATCGAGTGAAGTATCCTCGTTCCCTTTGCCAGGCCTCTCTCTCTCACAAATAATATGAATAATTTTAAGCAAACCTGCCACTCCCCTTTTCTTCAATAAATATATGTTTAAATATGGACATAAGAGAGGTAGAGACTGGAGAGAGTGGGGCTGTTATTGGGTGGGAGGGATGTGAGGAGTCAAGGCGAGTGGATTACCAGCAGACGATTTCGAGAATTATTCTACTCTCGCAGCCTGGCCTGGGTCCAAGCTTCCCTAGTACTGGCGTATGAGGCTCTCTTTGTTGCCTGCAGGTCCACATTACCATCACAGGCAGATGGATCCGGTAACTCTAGCACAAGCGAAGTTCATAGAGGTGGTGGCAGGGTGGTTGGTTGGTGGTGTGTAGTGTATAGGGTGAAGGGGGTGGTGGTTACTGGTATTGATGTTTGGGTGGAGGTGTGGGGGTGGGTGTTGGCACAAGACTGGTGGCAGTTAGGGCTTGAGAAGTAGAGGCATGCATAGGGTGTCATGTGCTCGAGGGTGTGGGGTGGAGGGGAACGTTACACGATTATATTTTTTCCCTTAAGTAGAACAGGCGAAGGAAATTTGTAGAAAGAGGACATACAGTGCGCGTTATTACGGTACACAAGCGGATCAGTGCTTTGGGAGTAAAGTTAGGTGGGAGGAAAGGCCGGGGTAACGATGTCAAAGGGAGGGGTGAGGGGAGGAGATGGAAGTTTTGGGGTGTTGGTTAATGGTTGATGTGTACTGTGTGCGAGGAGGCAGGGGGTGGGGGGGAGGAGGAGGTGTTGGGAGGCAGGTGTTTATTATCCTAACTGGTGATAACACTCTGGGACTGCACTGACGAGTTACAATTCTAAATTATACGTATATACTAGGGAGGGGTGCACTCGGAGGTGCCCGGGTATCTATCCCCCCATCCGCACGCCCTCCTCTTTCATCTGTCTTCCCCCCTATCTCCCCCTCTCCAACATTAAAGGGGAGACATGATCACCACCTACAAAATTCTCAGAGAAACTGACAGGGTGGACAAAGACAATCTATTTAGCATGGGTGGAACACGAACAAGGAGACACAGGTGAAAACTTAGTACTCAAATGTGCCAGAGATATTATGATTGTTTTTGTTTCAGTGTTAGGATAGTCAAATGGAATGCATTAGGCAGTGATGTGGAACCTGTACACCAGTTGATTGACAGCTGAGAGGCGGGTCCAAAGAGCTAAAGATCTTTAGTACTCGCAAGTACAAATCGGTGAGCACGCACGCACGCACGCACGCACGCACACACACACACACACACACACACACACACACACACACACACACACACACACACACACACACACACACTGGTTTTTTCTGGATATCGACGAAAAACGATAACAATAAACACAACTGAGACTCATTGTTTAATGTCAGTAAGAGCCAGCCATTCGATTTGAAATTTACAAAATTATTTTAGATAACGTTACTAAAAAAAAAAATAAGTTTGATAGAAACCGATAAACATCTAAATGTGCATTTTTACATATTTTAATGTTCATTGTATTCTTGTATACACCGAACCCCACACAAGCAAATCATATATATATATATACGCTTTCGAAGCAAAATCCACCACACCACATTCTTGAGGCTAAGTTGCAGCGTAATGTCTTGAGTCCGCGCTTTATATATTACTTCAAGATAAAAAAGAAGCTCAAATGCTGAGAGAAACTCCTGAGTCACCAGAGTACCATATTTAGCAGCCAGCCGCCGGCTTGTTGTCAAGCTGGGCCCCCTGATATGAGGACGGGGGTACGGGTGAGCACAGGGGGAGCCACAGAGGGGGGGTGTGGACTGCAGGGGAGGAGGAGAGAGGGGGTGGGGGAGGATAGGGAAGAGAGGATAGGATAGGGAGGAAAAGAATGGCGAGGGGACAGAAGTAGAGAGAGGACAGGAAAGAAGAGGAGATGAAGCGGATTCCATCGTGTGTAATAACTGATCTTATTTTCTGGGATGATGATATATTTTAGCTTTGGAATTTATCGCCAGTTGAATGT